TTTTATTTACTGTAGCATTTAATAGCTTATTAACGTTTACTGCACCTCTAGTGATACATTGTAAGTTAGTCATTATCCAACAGCTCTAATTTAAAAAAAAATAAATTTGATACTTTTTTATTAAAAAAAAAAAACCAATGTTATCAAATGATCTACAGAACATGTAGGTGATAATTTATTTTCAACCATTCCTCAGAAAAATAAAGCAAAATTTTTTACTGTAGAGCCTATTTGCTTTTTGAAAGTTTTTTAAGATCTCATTTTTATGAAAATTTTACGTATTAGTCACCAAGTTACATTTTGCCTTGTGTATGTGTGGATCCATGTCTGTAGTCAACTAGCCATAGACAGAAAATGTTCCAAAAATTCTCCAGCTCTACTAAACAGGCTCAGGCTTGTCATTGTTCCGTTAGTCAATACAATAAAACATTTATTTACATTGTCTTAGGAATTATTTATGAATCTAGAGATGATTTGAAGGAAAATGTACATAGGTTATGTACAAGTACTGTGCCATTTTCTATAAGGGACTTGGACATCTACAGATTTTGGTATTCACAGGGGCTTCTATACATATATAGTTCTTCCCATTATATATGTGTGAATATATATATAATCTTTACATTTTACTTTTAATTTAGAAAACTAGCTCAAATACCTTTTTTATTCATTGTGCTAGATTTTGAAAGTGATCTTTGAAAACTGATTTTTATAAGTATTAATGTTATTCTGTTTTTGTTGGCTAACTTCAGCAACTCCAACAAAGATCCCAACGGATACTAGTACTCCTCCCAGGCAGCATTTACCAACTCATGAAAAGATGACACAAAGGAGATCATCATTTAGTAGTCAGGTAAGCTGTTTAGTTCATATTCTTTGGGGGAAACAAAGGTTGATTACAAAGGAAAAATTATCTAAATTTCAAGAAATTCATTAATTTTAAGAAATTCATTAATTTCAATAAAAATCCTAATAGTTAATATATGACACTTCCTCAAGTGTCTCTTATTTGTGAAGTGGCTGTCATACAATTATGTTGTTTTTACCATTTTTCAAGTAAAATGTTTTAGATGTTCTGCATGAGAAGCTGATAATTGCTGTTTTATATCTTAAGTTCAAATACTGTTTGTCTTTTGTTAAGCCCAGCTAGCTACCTTTTATTTAGAGCTCGTGCTTGGTACTGTCATAAGTACGCTAGATGGTAAAACTTACATAAGGAATAGATCCTTCCAGTGTCAAGAAAGACATAGCTGTCTCTCAGCTAACAAAAGTATGAAGCAAATTCTAAATTTGGTGATAGACATACCATATCTCTATTCCTGATGGATGTATAAGAAAGAACATTACTTCAGTAATTTCAGTTACTCATTTGCTTCTAGTCCATAAATTCCCAGTCTGTTGGTCCATCATTAACACAGCCAGTGATGTCTCAAGCTGCGAATTTACCAATTCCACAAGGCATATCTCAGGTATGTTTTATTTGTGAGTACTAATGATAAATGATAAATTGCTTTTCAGCAAGTGATTGCATAGTTATATACATAGTTATACATAATTTTTATATGTATAATTATAGATGTAATGAATCTCAAGTAGAGCTGGGGATATTTTTATGTAAGGTAATGATTATGAGATACCACTGACCTTTTATGGACATGGTATGTTGAGTGTATCTTTGAATGCAGGACAGCTTTGTACAGCAAAGGAGTATCCTGCCTAGTGACACCATAACAAATCCCCCTCTCTTGAAGAAGAAAGACATGAAGATATAAAAGATAAAATATTAACATTTCATTTTATTCCTTCCATTGACATTGGAAGAATTAAAGTTATCATTTATTAATTCATTCATACATGACAAGTATTGACAATATTTGTAATATCTATATTAAGAGACAGTGAGGAAAAAAACATGACTATGATGTCACATTACGTAGTCTGTACACATCATATGCACTTCTAATGCAGCCCAAGAAAGTCATGGAAAACTTCCCCAAGAATATTTTGTCTGGCAAGAGAAAGCCTAAGTACAGAAATTAGGAAGAGAAAGGTGAATAATTCTAAAAGCAATTCTTTGATCACAACTTCAACTTGTGATTTGTAACTCATTCAGTTCCTCAAATACATAAATGGTACTGCTGAGTAGTAATAAATATACCATCTGGCTGTTTTGTTTTTGTTTCTCATTGTACTGGGGATCAAATGCAGGGCCTTGCACGTGCAAGAAAAGTACTGTGCCACTGAGCTATCTCCTCAGCTCCTCTTACTGCTCTATTTGGCATTAAATATCTAAACTTTGCAATCTTAATTTCTAGTAATAGATTACCATGTAAGGTGCATATAAAAGTACTATAATACCGATTATATTTAGGTGGCACAGTTTTTAATCAGCCTGAGGCATCATTCTAATTACTTTGACATATTAACAGAAAGTTTGTGTAAATATTTACACGTACTTTCAATATTTTTTTTAATTTTATTTATTTGTGTGTGTGTGTGTGTGTGTGTGTGTGTGTGTGTGTGGCCAGCTAAGCCCACCAGGGGGCGGGACTGGCTGGCATGTGGTGCTGGGGGATTGAACCGTGGTCCCTGTGCTTTTTTGCTAAGCTTGTTCTATGTAGGTGCTTTAGACCACTGAGCCAAATCTCAAGATACTGATTAAACATTTCTTAACATTTACAGAAGACACTCTTATGAAATAAATATGTACTATGTTAAAAATGTTAATAAGCATTCAAATCTCATTTCATTCACAGTAAAACTAGAAACACTTTGCTTCTTTTTTCTGTGGTTTTGTTTTCTATTAAGATCTTGTGTTTATTTTTATTTTCTTAGTTCTTTTTAACAGAAATCTTTTAAATGGTGATAGTATGTTTAACCACAGGTTTAGATAACTATTTAAAAGGCCTGAGTGTTGAGAAAATAATTTATGACATTTTTCTCACAGATCAATATATGATATTGTGTTGTTTCAACTTCAGAACTCATAGTTGTATACTTTGAAAAGTAATTCTCTATTTCCTTACTACAAACTTTTAAAGATAGAATAAAAAGGCATTGGGCATGGTCTTACTTTTAGGTGCGGTTCAGTGTAGACTTACTTTAATTTCTAATAACGTGAAACTTTCACTTCTTATCTGTGTCATATACTTCATAAATGCAGAATCCACCAAAAATGTATGTCTCAAAAATATTAAAACTTACATAAATATTTTAATATTAAATTTACTGAAATATCATGAGAGTAATACAAGTTACCTTTGGCCTCTACAGTTACAACAGGTGCTCAAAGCAGTGGCCATTAGCTTCCTGATGTTTATTAAAACAGTGAACTGTTGAAATATGTATTCATTTTTTTGGCAGACTGTGTATGAAAATAATCAAATGAGCTTGTTAGACTACAAAATGAATCATCGAAATGGTGCAAAATTATAAACAACAGAAAATAGAGAAATAACAAGGAAAACTCTGGAAGTAGAATATCTTTTTCATTCATGATTCATTCATTAATGTGTTCATAATTAGTCTTTAAAAGCCCATGTTTTAAACTTTTAAGGAAAATAAAATTGAAAATGAAAACAATATTGAATATCTGTTTAATTTTTATAAGTTTGGATAAGTCTATTCACGTTCACATAGAAGTCATTTAGGACTGACAGAAGCTGATATGAATTAATTCCAGGTTCAGGCTGCATTTTTATTTGTTAAAGACTAAAAATGAAAGTAAGAGGTTAAGTACCCTGTTCTAGTAGTTGATTGAGCACACTGTATGAGCTCAGGTCTTCTGACTTAAGGATACAATCAGCCAAGGTCCAGTCAGAAATCAAAAGTATACCAGAAATTTAAAGAGATATACTATGGAAAATTATTAAGCAGTTACTGAGAGAAGGAAACATAATCTAAGAACATAGGAAGAAGAGCTGTAAAGAGCAGGCACTAGCGGTAAGTCGGGAGAGCACCTAAGGAAGGGACAAACTTGGGAGACTCCCAGCCTGTTAGTCACTTGTTCCCTATGCCAGCCTCATATTCAGATCTCACTGTGGCCAAGTGTGATAACTGAAGGACTGCAAAGGAGGGCTGGAGAGCAGGAAGCTGCCTTCCAGGGACTGGTAAAGATTTGCTGGGAGGCTGCCCACTAGAACAGCACTCAGACTTGCTAGAGAGCTGCCTACCTGAGTACTGATGAGATGCACTGCAAAGCTGCCCACTGGCGCCCCTAGCATTCGAATAAGAAGTGACTAGAACCAGGAAGATGAGCACCTTCCTTGGCAGACTGTTAACTTTGTGCCTGCTGCCAAAGGAGAAGTATTTTTGAATTTCAGGTCCAGGTTCCCAAAGCAGATCAAAGATGGGCAGGTTAAAAGCTAAAAGGCAAAAGAACTGCTGTTAACCCATGATGCACTGCTTGCTTTCATATTGCACAATTATGTGAAGTCAGTCATTTTAAAATAAGTTATACTTTTCCACATGTGGTTTTCAGTTTCAGTTTTCAGCTCAGTTAGGAGCCATGCAGCATCTGAAAGACCAGTTGGAACAACGGACACGGATGATAGAGGCAAATATTCATCGGCAACAAGAAGAACTGAGGAAAATTCAAGAACAACTTCAAATGGTCCATGGTCAAGGGCTGCAGGTAAGTTATTTTTATATGTAAGTACATAGTATCCTTTTTACTTGTTGTTTTTGTAGAAAACTGGTTAAATTTATTTTAATTATACATATAAATTTTGTATTTATCGGGCTTAAATTCAGTATTTTCAGACATCATATAACATTTTGATTATATCCATCCCCTACTCCATTACCTGAACTCCCATTCTTTTCCTTTAAAAATTGACTTTTTAAAAGTGAAAATTAGGTTCCTTTCACTAATTCAGTTAATAACCATTGGTTGCCTTGCATAAATACTCATTCATAGAAGTAGTTCCACTAACACCTTTATTTTTTTCCAGATTGATGAAGTCCTAATTTTAGTAAGCTCAAATGCATAACATAAAAAATATATTATACAATAGCTTAGTAGGTGTGATTCATATTAATCTGACTCAACCAAGAAGACCACTATGGGATAAGTAAAAACAACTTCTGTCTGCTGTCATAATGATAAATGATTTATGAAGCAAACCTTCCAGTCCACAGACCTTGAGCAATCCTTAGCTGCACTTGTTGACAGTGAAGAACACACTAGGCATGATGGAGAATATGAAGTTTTCTGTTTTTGTTTTTTGTTTTTGTTTTTGTTTTTGCAGAACCAGGGATTGAACTCAGACCCTTGCACTTGCCAGGGAAGCGCTTATTCCACTGAGCCATCTCCCTGGCCCCAAGTTTTCTGTTTTTATTCAGTGATTGTTGCTAATTCTCCACTCAGAACAAGTTATGGTCATATTATTTGCCTTTTAATTATTGGAAACTTCATTTTATTTACTTTCTTTTAATGTCACTCTATTTTTAAGCTACAAAAGTCATTTAGAGCTGGGTCTGTAGCTTAAGAGTAGATTTCTTGTTTAAGATGCTCTAGGCTGTTTAATTTCCAGCACTACCAAAAATTATTAAATGTAATCTTTATTTTTAAAGATGTTTTTGCAACAGTCAAACCCTGGATTGAATTTTGGTTCTGTTCAACTTTCTTCTGGAAACTCATCGAATATCCAGCAGCTCACACCTGTAAATATGCAAGGCCACGTTGTTCCTGCTAACCAGATTCAGAGTGGAATGAGTGCTGGACACATTGGCACAAGTCAACACCTGATGCAACAACAGACTTTACAAAGTGCATCCACTCAGGTAACGTTGTCAAGTACAGTGGGTCATGAATTGGTGTCCGTGATTGAGCTACATACTAGTGTCAGACAAAAATCAAGCTCTAATACTCTCTTTCAAAATTTGATAGCAATTAGAATATGTAATATTGAAATATTGAGCTGAGCATAGTGGCAGACACCTCTAATCCCAGCCTTAGGGGGCTGAGGCAGGAGGATTGCCATGAGTTTGAGGCCAGCCTGAGCTACATCAGTTCAAGGCCAACCTGGACTAGAGAGCAAGATCTTTTCTCAAAAATCTTTTTTAAAAATTGAAATATTAAAATAGTGTTTGAAAAATTATGTTAGTATTAAATATTTTCAGTATTTAGACATCAGAAAATTTTGCAGTCTGTTTAAAGGTCTAGTCTAATAATTACAATGAGTTATTATAATTTATAGTCTTTATGTTAAAAAGTTACAATTTACAAATAAAACAGACCAGGAAACATAGTATTACATGTGCAGAATACACTGGGGGTGGGAAGAACAGTGACAGTTTCACACATTCACAACAGAACTGTATTTCATAGGTCTTGTTGCCAGGCCGTTTGAGCTACTGGTTGTACAAGCCCTGTATATAACTATACTGCTTGTACTACCAGTTCTGCAAGCCACCTGATGGGACGGACCATCACTGCATGTGCCACCAGTGTGTCAAGCCAGGGGTATTAATAAACACTGCAGAAAATTCTGGCAATTACTGTGCATCTGTGACTATAAGTGAAAAACATAAAAATACCTCATCATTGGTCACTCACTTTGGGCATTTAACAAAATCCTTTGTGAATATCTTCTGTTATTCCTGTTAAGGTCACACTTCTTTAAGAATCAAAATTCAGGACTAATTCATTCTCAATTACTACAAATCAAATTTATTTTTGTGTGTTGTTGTATTTATAAGAGAAGAGAGATTTAATTCTGGCTCAAAAGTTGTTCCTTTGGCATTAGAGTTCTCTCAAAATAATATATCCTGACACTGTTACACTCTTAGGTCAACAGTTGAGTGACTGTGAATGGCAGAAGCAGACTTCCCAAATAACTTTTTTAGTTAATCTCTTTGTAAAACCTTCTCTTTCCTAACAGAGTCAACAGAGTGTACTGAGTGGACATGGTCAGCAAACGTCTCTTCCCAGTCAGACACAGAGCACTCTAACAGCCCCATTGTATAACACTATGGTGATTTCTCAGCCTGCAGCCGGGAGCATGGTCCAGATTCCATCCAGTATGTCCCAGAACAGCACTCCGGGTGCCACAGTAACTACATTCACTCAGGACAGACAGATAAGGTAGTTGTCATACTTTGGTTCTCATTTTCAGAGTTGTAAAGTGATTGATTAAAATCAATAATCTGGGGCTAAGGATGTGTTTCATTGTTAAACCATTTACCTTGCATGCACAAGGTCCTGAATTCAATTTCCAGCACTGCCAAAAGAAAAGGGAATAATTTGATTTTTTAAATTTCTTGCTTACTATAGCTGTTGTCCTGAAATTTGAAATCAAAATACAAATCTGGGACCAGCGAGTAGCTCAGCAGACTAAAAAGCCTGCTTTAGCAAGTGCAGGGACCAGGGTTCGATCCCCATTCCTGCATGCCACGCCAGCCTCATCTCCTGGGTGTGCTGAGCCAGCCATTGAGTCCAGTTGTGGTGGCTCATGCCAGCACTGGGGAGGTTGAAAACAAGATCACTACGAATCTAAGCTATGTAATAAGACCCTGCACCAAATACATAAATTAAATCTTTTGTTTAAAGACTTTCTAATAAAAAACTATATATTTTTATTTCTTGTCCAGTAATGAGTTACTAAATATGATAGAATCCATATTCTGCAGGATTGTTATACAAGGCCTATGACAGGCCTTGTGGCACTCTGAAACTTTTCAGTACGGATGTTTAAAGTTTTTAGTAGTAACAACAGTTAGTACAGCATACCTTTCTTAAGTATTCAAAATATTCATTCCTCTTTTTGTTTTAATATATTCTCTTTCATTTCCCAGGTAGGAAACAGGTTTTTTTTGTTTTGTTTTGTTTTGTTGGAAATATGTAGATATTTATTAATTGACATGATAATTTCTAATGTATCCAATAAACCCTTTTTTTTATGTTAGTTTCTTTCTGCTCTTGACTGAATGTTCAAGAGCCTTGTTTTCTTTCTTTCTTTCTTTCTTTCTTTCTTTCTTTCTTTCTTTCTTTCTTTCTTTCTTTCTTTCTTTTTTAACAGTAGGTTTTTTATAATGTCATCAAAGACCTGTAATTGATTAAGTCAGTGAGAAGGTAGCTCTGGACTCAAAAAACCTGAGTGTCTGACTTCAAAGTTCAGCTGTCTAAACATGCTGCACTGAGCTGCAGTAGTCTAGAAAGATAGCCCTCACTGACTGTAACATGGTGTGACAAAAAATATATAAAGAATGTAGCTGCTGATTGCATGTAACAGAAAGGCAGAGACCTTCAAAACAGTGCATTGAACATTAGTAACAGTGGTGTGACAAGTTTCAGCTTTGGCCCCATTCAGAATACTTTAACCATGGATTTGAACATGAGTGGGTATGTATTTGGACTCCCAGACAAAGAATATTAGCATTTGTCAATTTCATTAGATTTTGGGTTTTATACCACTATGAGAGATGAAACTTGGGTCAATGTTTATGGTCCTGAGACCAAAGTTCAGAGTTCTTAGTGGAAACCACCCATTTCTCATGTGAAAAAGTATGTCAGTCAAGTGATTTTTATTGTACTTTTTAAGAAGAATTTTTATTTTACTTTTGCAACCATCATCTTTTAAAATGGTGGCTTTAAGAAATCTGCTTCAGCAATTTGTGGCAGAGGTTCCTGTGGAGAGGAAGTAAGAAGACTGAGCCTACAGACAAGGGCTGCTGGTTCATTCAAAGTGCAGGGATAGTTTATAGAGCAAAATGTAGTCCTAAGTAAATGGGTTTCAGGCGATTTCAGTGTTAGCATCATTAATAGTAGAACAGATTGTGCTCCAACCTGATGTTTATATTTAACACATTGCTTCCAAATACTCCAGGGTCCCTAGTCAATAGTCTTCTGCACATATCCACCCTGATCATGTGTTTTTTGACTGAGCTGGGTTTGTACCTAGGAACATCACAGTGATCTCTGAATATTATTTTGAAGAAAGAGTGTGCAAAGAAAACAGCCTAAGAAGCGGGCAGTTACTGGTATAGTGGCAGCTTCTGTCCAATAAAAAGGTGTGGTGTGTCCTTGTCTACATCATTCACTAGATCTGGCCCCATTTGACTTCTGCTCTTCCCCAAAGTCAAAATAAAACCACAAGAGGTAAATATTTGGAATCAATTCAGGACACACAGCAGCCATGACAGTGCAAAAAAGCATGATAAAATTCTTCCCGAATTGCTTCAGAAAGCTATGAGAATAAAGACATGGATGAGTGCGTATGAAGCTGGGGGAGGGAAAATAGCAGTGTGTCTTTTACTGTAATACATTGTTAAAATTTCAACATCACCATTGATCACACCTCAATTTAATGAGGATCTTAAATAGTTGACTTAGAAAGTTTTTGAAGAAATGTCATTCAGATACTGGAAAGATATCTTTTAGCAACTATAAGATCTCTATAGTCTTAAGTCTATGATTTAGTTTTTAAATGTCATCTTTATTGTTAAAAATATCTAATACAATAATCAAGATTTTATACAGTGAAAGTCAAACATGATGACATACCCTGTAATCCCAGCACTTGGTTAAACTGAGACATGAGGATCATAGTGAGTTCAAAGCCAACCTGACCAACATCGCAGGACCCTGATTGAAAACAAAAGTACGAAAAGAATAAAATGATCAAATATAAGTTTAAGGGCCAGCCAAATAGCTCAGTGGATTAAAGCGCTTGCAAGCAGGGGCCAGGGGTTCAATATCCCGGCCTGCTGTGCAGGCCTCGCCTCCGGGGCGCACTGAGATGGCAGTTGAGAATGGGCATGGTGGTACACACCTGTAAACCCAACTCTTTGGAGGCCGTAAACAGAAGAATCACTACAAGTCCAATCTAGTAATGAGCCTGTAGACCCTTCCCTAAAATAAAAACAAAGAAAATAAGTAAGTTTAGACCATAATAGTCACTCAAGTTAGAAACAATGAAAAACATGTCAAAATTAATTCATAATAAATTGAGTAAAGCTTAAAAAGCTCTCTAATTTTCAATCCTTTGCAATTTTTTTACTTATTCTATAACTATACTGTTCCTTTTATGTACAGTACTTAATATTAAGTAGTATTAATTAAAATCATGTGAATAATGCTTAGCATAAAGAACCTACAGGATTACCTAGCAATGAAAGCAGAAAGAAGTTCCCTCAGTTGAAAGACTCCAACATTTAGTTCTCTGTTCTGAAAAGAATTACAGATGTGCCCTAAAGAAGTACCAAGGGCTGAGTTGTTTTCCTTTTTGTTAGTGAGAATTGAATCCAGAGCCTCCTCCATGCTAAGCACATATTCTATCACTGAACTCTGCCTGTAGCCAGAGGAGTGATTGGAAAGCTTGAGAAGAAAGACATTAACCATCTGCCGGTCCAATTATTTAAATACAGGATGACCAAAAACTGCTTTTTCTTTTTTTATTATAAACAAAAATGCTGATCTGCATTTTGAAAGGTACAGTTGTTTTTTTATCTTTTGTTTACACCTGGGTTTTTTGAGAGAGGAGACATATTTGAGCAAGCACTTGAAGCATACAGCATAGTGCTTTCCTCAAGAGAAAGGCCAGACTAGTGAAAGCAATAGGAAGGTAAGTACTAAGTCAGTACTGCTTGGGAGCTGAATACTCCATCAGTAGTTTACACTCTTTTATTTGTCAATTGAGGCAAGCAGATGAAGAGAGTTGGGGCAAAAGCTTCACCAAAGAGGAGACTCTTGGATTTGCGTCATAGGAGGCATTCTAGGCAGGGGAGAAAGTGTTTACAAAGCCACAGAAGTATGAGTTGAACAGAATAAGTGAATGTCTTTTGGTACCAGCAGTGGATAAAGTTTCACACTTATCAGTGAGCAGTTGGATGGCACTTGTTCGTGACTAAATACTTTGTAAATGTCACTTATTTGAGCTTCTTTACATTGAAATTTTTGTTTTGGGAGATTTTTGTACTCAAGCATTTGAAGTATATAAAATACAGTGTTTTATTTCAAGATCTGGCATGAAGTCAAAATATTTATTGTTGGGGCTAGGACCTTAGCTCAGTAATACAGCACTTAACTAGCACAAAGGAGGCCTAGGGTTCAGGTCCCAGCATAGCAGCATAAGAGTACACACTTGTGCTGTACTAAGTTTACTGTTGTTAATGTATTTTAAACAGTTTGTACTGTAATTACAGTATATCTCAGTTTCCTTGCTAACTTCTCACAGAAAAGACAAACTGAAATATCATTTCCCAGAGTCAGAATCAGAGTTGTTTGTTCTTGTTAAGACCAGAGAGAGGAAGGAGATGGAAGGGAAATTAGTAACTTCTAATACATGGGCACTGTGCTATGTTGATACATTATAAAGCAAAAATACTTATTTTCATTATTATCATTTGTTCTGAGTTATATTTATAAGATAAAGCCTTAAATTTTTTTCCATGAATTTTCTTTTTTTAATTTACCTTAGAAGGGCCAGCCAGATAGCTCAGAAGAGAAAAGCGCCTGCTTAGGCAGAGCGCAGTGGCTGGGGTTCGATCACCATCATGCCATACCGGCCCTGGCCCTAGGGCGTGCTGAGATGACGATTATAATCCCAGCTCTTGGGAGGCTGAACACAGTGAGACCCTGTAGACCCAGTACTAAATACAAAAAAATTACATTAGAGTAGCCATAGGTGCCCATATGGTAAAGAACCATGTGACAGATGTACTGATGCTAAAGTACTGAGCTGTTTTAGAAAATAAAAAGTTCACATTTGTTTAAAAATTTTAATTATGGTAAAATGTATACAATAGTTACCACATTAACATTTTAAAGTATGGATTTCTGTGGTATTATTCACACAGTTGTTACTGTCACCCCCAGCCACCTCCAGACAGAAGTTTCATACTACATATCCATTCAGGTTTCCCAGACTCTCCCAACTACCCATCCTCGACAACCACCATTCTACTTTCTGTTTGCTTTGAGTACTTCAGATAGGTAGAATCACACAGTATTTGTCTTTTTTATTCCTGGCTTGTTTCACTTAGCATGGTGTTCTAGGTTCATCCATGTAGCATTGTCAGAGTACCCTTTTTTTTTTTTCTTCCATAATTTTATTGAGAAACAAATAACAGTGAGACAGTTTCAAA